TCCCCGAACTTCCCGCTGCCCTGTATCTTGGTCTCTCATTGGCTGTAGGTCATCGCCGATGTAGGTTTCAGTCAGAAATCATTGCACACAGCGTGATTGTGAATCGCCAACAACTCCAGATATTTAGCATGCCAAATATTTTGCGGGCGACGTGTCGGCCATTCCCTCAGATCGCGTCTTTGATAATTCACACTGCGTGATTGTCACTCGCGTGAACGAGCACCGATTTGCCTCCGATTTCGGGCATTTGTCGGCGATTTCGCAAAACCTGTCGGCGAGTGAAAAATCGGGCTAAAATTGTGCAGTGTGAACTCGGCATAACTTTCAGACGCCAGACCACTGATTCGTCAAACCTGCTTTCCTGCAGTCCTTGTTCTTCTGACTTCTGACTATTTTGTAGTAATAACGAATATGTTTCGGGGAAATGTATCGGAGTAAAAGTATAAATTTTAATTAGGAAATGTAGTGGAGTAAAAGTTGGCTGAAATATAAAAACTCAAGTAAAGTACAGATACTCCCAAAAAATACTTAAGTACTTTAACGAAGTATTATTACTTTGTTACATTACACCACTGCCTATAATAATGAATGAATGAATGAATTAAATACTAACACTTTACAATAAGGTTGGGTGTCTGTTGCTAAGCATCTAGCTGTAACATTTTAACACTTTTCACACTGTACACTGAATTATTGCCCTCCAAAGCAGGGTCTTATGACCCCAGGTAAAAACCAAGCATCTACATTTACAAGTGTGAAACTTTTTGGTTAAAATTAATAATATTTGATATTACAAGAAGTTTACGTAACTAGCAATGCCCTGCATCAGGTTGTAGGACATCTTGGTTTGACAGAGATGACCCTGATGATCCAGGAGATAGTGAGATCCTGACAGATATTCAGATAATAATCCCACCAAAGGTCTGCAGTCTGCCCATTGCTATTGAAGTCACAACCATTAGTGGGAGCCCTGCACTGCTGACTGGAGACCTTTTTCAACTGTAAGGCTAAAAATATTATGAACAAATAAAATAATTTCATATGTAATTTTGTAATGATTAAGAGTCATCTGCTCTGATTCTGCAGATTTGATCCACTTCTGGGCTTCAAATGCGTGAATGAACAGCAGGGAGGGGTCTGTCAGGACTACAAGGTCCGCTACACATGTCCGAAAAGTTTCTGCAAGATCCAAGTTCTCTCAAACCTCACAATTGAGGCAGCAAACATTCTAGACAAATATTACGCTCTTGTGAAACTATGTTTTCAATATAAGTTTAGATGTTATGTTAAATACATTAAACATTTGCATTATCCTTCCCTGTCTCAGCTTTTGTTGTTGTGAGTCAAGTTGTGTTGTGAAATACTTTGTAAGAACATTGGCGGAAACTGTTTAAGGCTCTGTTATGATGATCCCTGCATATCATCAAACTTGTGCATACTTCTATACTTGTTCATTTATAATGTCTAACATTTAAATATAGCCTATAGTAGGCTACATGTCAACCATGCTGCTATTTCGTCACAAATAATAGCATTATAAGCGTCATGACACACCAACAAAAAAAGACACTTTACAATTCACTAGGCAAAGAGAAAACTAGTTCTAGAAATGATAGAACAAAGTTTGTAGTAGGGTAAATAGGTCTTGTTAAAACATAATGAAACAATTTTTTACATTTAACCCACACATACTGTGCAGGTAACTCAGTATAACTTTAACTTATTTTATTGTCTGGAGAATATAGCATGGCATACGGTGATAATAATTAAAATATTAATAATGATATATAATAATAAAAATGATTAAATTTTATATGTGAATTTGACTTATGTTCACTGTCATGTTAATAGTGTTCCTGTACACACATATGAGAATCTGAAAGTGTCCAGCTTTTTTCCAACTCCTCTGTTCTGCATCCTCCTATTCTCGCCGATGGACAAGGCTAGATACAGATGACGCTGAACAGCCCCATCGTGCTGTCGTGTATAAAAAAAAAAAAAAAAATGTATTGGGACGTCTTTAGAGAAAGAACTAGAACTGTTCGACGTCATTTCCGGTGGAATATTCCAGCGAATCCTTTGTTTTGTTTTTTTAAATTGTGATGTGCTTAGAGAAAGAGCTAGAACTGTTCGACGTCATTTCCGGTGGAATATTCCAGCGAATCCTGCTATGCCTTTAAAGAGAGACACGCTGAAAATACACTGGATTCCGGAAAGAATTGTCTGTCTGTGACAGTCAGGTGCAGTCTGTAATATAAATGTAATCTTCGTCCATTTAAAGTCATAACTGTTTTCACTGAATGTGAATTATAAATACTGTGTCGTCGAAGTTTACCACCAAAATACTTTATTTGTCTGCGTTAATTTTGAGTTGCATCGTTCTGTGCTTGACCTTGAAGGTAAGTTTGTGCTCAGAGCGTGACATATCAGGTTTAAAAAAAAAAGACATTTTGATATATGATACTATATGATGGGCTTCATATTCTTGTTCATGTACGCAACGTAACACTATTGTTATAATGAAAGGCTCTTGCTCAGTAATACCCTTAATTTAACTACGTAATGGAATAATGCTTGATATTATAAGGGGCACAATAAGAAACACTGTATATTAATTCAGTGTTTCTATAATAAAGCGCAGAAAAGATTCAGACACGCATTTTTAATGCTGTACGATACGATAGGTGAGCGCAGAAACCATGACCTGCAACTTCGTTACATGACAGTCTCATCAGACTGACTGATGTTGAGTAATTTACACAGCTGTTTATGTTAACTAATAAAACCGAGGTTGCGCAGGAATTACGCATACGCAGCCTTTTCAACTTTTCAAGAATTAGCCTACCGAAGATATGATTGTTTTTAGTCATAAAATGCCAGTTTCACCATACATACGGGCTAACCTTAATAATAACGCATCAATTCCTGTGAATTGGCTAGTGTAGTTATAACAGCTTGTGAGAAAAACGGTTTTTCCTCTTTAAGTGCGTCAGAGATAGTCTTCGACTCCGTGCATAACAGCCTTTATGTAAGAGACAGGTGGTACAGAGGCAAGAGTCAATGTGAATGGATCTCATCCCGCTTTCACATATCACTCTAGTAGTATTATAGGAGGAGTTTTTGTCTTTAATTCATTTGATAGCCCGTTATTGACTAAACAGAGCTCTAATTACCCTTTATTTAAAAAAAGGCACTGTTATGATTTAACCTTTTAACGTTGTGGGAAGGTCTTAAGGAACTCTTGACTTAAGACAACAAGTCTACTAATGTGATTGAAAACCTGTGATGAACGTTCTAAAATGTGATTAGGCCTATATAATAATTAATAGAAGTAAAAGGTCCAGTTCCAACTTTAAGGCAGGATGACACGGGTGAATAGGGTGATTTTTTAAAATCTAATAGATATCACCACATTTACAGTCAAACCAAAATTTATTCAGACACCTTCAACATTTCACACATTATCACAGTTGATTCGCTTTAGTTTAGAAAACGGTAATAAAATATGACAAGATCTCAGAGTTAAACTGTGTCAGAACATATTCCTCTTGATAATGTCAGATAACACTTAAGCAAAACATGGTCAGGCCAAAGTGTCTGAATAATTTTTGTTCCCAAATTTTTTATACATTTTACTGGTAGTCCACTGTATGAAGAATTTTTGGGTATAATATGTCACAGTTTACTTTATTTTGCTATCCTCACTTTGCACCTACTAGTAAAAAAAAAAAATCTAAAATTATATCTGGCATCTGAATAAAGTTTGGTTTGGCTGTACATCCGTATTTGATTAATCACAGTACTTTAAAACAATTTATTATTATTATTGTGAAATGTTGTGTTTGGATATGCAAATAAGGCATTATCAAGTTTCAAAATTTTAGTTTAATTTTGTTGGCATATTAAAGATTTTTACAAAGAGGATTTTGGATATCTCTTTTTATCATATAAATCAGAAAAGAAAAGGGGAAAAAGTCAATTTTTTTCTAAATAAAATATTACATAATGATATAATAACAAACTTATTTGTAAAAACCTATAAACCTATATAAATAGAAATAAACCTGGAAAGTTTGGTGTATGTAATGGATATTTCTGGCTCAGTGCATCAGAAAGAAATTAATTTTCAGAAAATGGCCTAAAGATATGTATTGTAATTGAAATCTACTGATGCACATAGATAAAGTGTAATAGATTAAAAAAACACTTGAATGTGTATTTTGGATGTTTTCTTTAGACTAGTCTGAAAGAAGAATAAAAGCAAAACGGCTCCAGTCCATTTCAAAATGAAAAACAATGGTTGTAGTGTTTTGCCTTAAAGGGGTGATATGATGCTGCTAAAAAGAACATTATTTTGTGTATTTGGTGTCATGAAATGTGTTTATGCGGTTTAAAGTTCAAAAAACACATTATTTTCCACATACTGTACATTATTGTTTCTCCTCTATGCCCCGCCTTTTTGAAACGCGTTGATTTTTACAAAACTCATCAGTCTGAAAAAGCGAGGTTTGCTGTGATTGGCCAGCTATCCAATGCGTTGTGATTGGCTGAATACCTCAAGCGTGAGACGGAAATGTTACGCCCCTCACATACTGTTGATGCCGTGTTCGGCCGGAGCGACGAGACCAAAACATTAAAACCCATTACAAACGAGGCATTTGTTGCATCCAGTGGGGACATAATTACTGATTATAATGACTTATACTGTCTTTTTATGCGTTGCGTTGCATTGAATCGCGCCGCGTAAACATAAAACTCTGTCTGCATTTGTGATCGGAGAAATGACAAACAACAAGTGCTACTCTACTGCCCAAAACTCGCGTTTGAATCATCAGTGGCAAATCGTTTAAATGAAAACGTACTTACGTGAGTCAGAAGAGTGAGCTGAGGCCGGGCTAGCGTGAGCCGAATAGAGTGAGCTGAGGCGGCGGAGTCGAGAACGGCGCGCCCAGCGGATGCGACGAATGAGCGGCAACCACATGTGACGGACCCCGGGCTGGATTCCGCTTTGTCCACAGTGAAAGTTGATGTATTCCCTCAGCGACCAGCACAGATCAGCTCTAGGCATGACGAAGCGGATATAGTCCTCTTTTGGAAGACCAAACAAAGTAGTTTAGCTTTCACAACGAAGCACACAGCGTCTTCACGACATGGCTGCAGCGTCAACAATACTACAGTGAGAATAAAAATTACGCCTTCTTTCTTTGCGTGAACATTTGGGCGGCGTTATGCAAATCTTCCCACATAGTGAGGTAGATATGTGGGGGCGTGTTAGAACGAGCTGTTTTAGGTAGGTGTGGCTGACTCTGAACTTTTATAAAGAATATCCCTTTGGATTTGAGACTTTAGTCTTTGCAACTTTACAGATCTTCTTTATGCACCAAGAGCTTGTAACACTCCAAAGAGAAAGGAAAAATTGAAATCGCATCATATGACCCCTTTAAGTTGTAAGGTGGGTCTTTAAGACTAGGCCGTACACTTTGGCACTAAAACAAAAAAGCACCATGTTATTACTGTGGTGTGAGAGGCAGTGCTTGAAAGCACAGATTACACCCTGTTATGTGCTGTACATGATATTATGTTGTTCTTATCTTCATTTGGTAAAGCTGACTTTCTTATTTGATTTAGTTTCAGTGCTGGTTGACGTGGAGAAATCTGTTGACCATCATGATCCTCCTGACTCCCACATCTGGTACGCAAGTTAATACTATATGCAAAGCAGTGGCACATGCCATTTCTGCTTCCCACAATAATGAAAATGGCTGTTTATGTTTAGGATTGTTTCAATGAGTGCCACTAACTGTGTTCTTACATTCAAAAATCTTTGGTAAGGTTTGGGATGGTTGGCACAAGATTGAAACTATGTGAAGCTGTAGAAAAACAAACAAGTGTGGAGTTCCTCATATGCGGAGTGCAGACCTACAGCTTTAGAGGCTCGGTTGCACTTTAACTCAGTGTATTGAGCTGGATTTAAGCCCATTTTTGACTGTTTATCCATCACCAAATAAACAATTAAGAGGTTGATGAAATACATTTACATGCAAACTTATGACAAAGCAGTTTTTATAGATAACCGAATAGTTGTTTCGTAGCAATTGGCTTGTATATCTGTTAACTGGAACATATGGGCCCTAGTTTTTATGACTATGGTGGTGTTTGTCCCATAGTTTCTTAGACTAGCTGCCAAATAAGTTCTTGGTTTTAACTGTTACCAGGTTACACTGAGGTTCAGTTACACAACTTAAGTTATGCCTTTCTATATGTACAGTATTATACAGTGTTGTAGAAACAGATAAATGTTAATCCTGTCAACCCTGGCTTCTGTCACATGGAGCAGAGGAACTAGACATGCACAAAGACCTGCGTTAATGGCTACTTGGGGTCTTTAGGCGAAATATAGCCTAGTTGCAATGCTCTTTGATGTTCCTGTTAGTTGTTAAGATTACACTCCCACAACAAAGGAAGTCCTTCCCTTTCATCACCTCATCCTTCATTATACTTTGGACTAAGTTCTAGTTCTTTCTCTAGTAGGGCTGGGCGATATGGCCAAAAAAATTATCACGATAAAATTTTTCATATCAGTCGGTATCGATAATTATCACGATACACTTCAAATCTTTATTTCTTTTAAGTTTAAAGGCAAAATTCTGCTCCATAAGGGAAAGTTTTAGAAACCAGACCGTTAATTGTGGTTTTAAACTCTTTATGGTCAGAACATGATAAACACTTCACATTTTTTAATTCTTTACACTTTTCCAGTAATTTTTTCTTAACAAAATATATATCTTAATAGAAAAATTTATTTCTTAGTTTATGCATGTTCTAATGAGTGATATGGTTTCAAATTATGAAAAAGGTTTGTGTAGCCTGACTTTGATGATGCATATCATAAGCACAGTTTGCAGTGCAGTCTGCAAAAACAATAATAATATTAAATTTTTTGTCTCTTAGAAATGCACATTTGACAGTAGCTTGAGTTGACAGTAGTAGTAGCTTGAGTTAGGATGCAGATGTATTATTCTGACTAGGGGTGTGCCCGAATCCGAATACCTTATTTGGAAAGCACGGATAATGGCTTCAAAATCAATAAAGGATAACGAATAATTCTGCTGAATAATATTCGCCTGAGGCAGGAACAGTCACTCCTTGTGTTTGCTGGATAACAGGTGAGCCAGGGGATCAGTGCGATATTATACATAAACCTCTAAAGTTACTACGCAATAATGAGTGTGTGAAGTGAAAGAATGTAAACTTTATGAATGAAATGAGCACAAATCAAACAACTGCATTGCTGTTGCATCTCAGTGCATCTCTCAGAAATCAGAGCTTGGCAAAAGTAATATCCATAGATATGTATAGGTAGATTCCTTATTTGACCGCTCCAAGCACATGGACGCATCCGCCATCTTGGAACGGTCTATATGTCATCACTCACAATAAAAATCAATGAGTTTCAAGAAGATGCAACAACATTGTGCAGCCTAAATTTAAATTCCTGAAGAAACTGGATAAACTTTCACAGGTAAAAATGTGTTGGTTTGTGTTTTTAAAATTTATTAACTCAATATGACAGGTTTTCAAACTAAAGTAGGCCTACCTTTTAAATGCCTTGTTAGCTAACAGCTTCCTCTTGTTGTATTGTGTTAGTTTAGCAAAAGCATTTCTGAAGTCTACTGAAGATATACACTGAACAAAATTATAAACGCAACACTTTTGTTTTTGCCCCCATTTTTCATGAGCTGAACTCAAAGATCTAAGACTTTTTCTATGTACACAAAAGGCCTATTTCTCTCAAATATTGTTCACAGTCACACCAGATACTGACTGGTTTTCGGATCCCCCCTGGACCCCCCAATACAGTAAAACTGCACATTTTAGAGTGTCCTTTTATTGTGGCCAGCCTAAGGCACACCTGTGCAATAATCATGCTGTCTAATCAGCATCTTGATATGCCACACCTGTGAGGTGGATGGATTATCTCGGCAAAGGAGAAGTGCTCACTAACACAGATTTAGACAGATTTGTGAACAATATTTGAGAGAAATAGGCCTTTTGTGTACATAGAAAAAGTCTTAGATCTTTGAGTTCAGCTCATTAAAAATGGGGGCAAAAACAAGTGTTGCGTTTATAATTTTGTTCAGTGTATATTATTCATATATGCGTATAACTACAGTTGTAGTGCAGATGCACCAGCAACTTGCTCTCGAGTATTCACGGACTGCCTTTGACATTCCATTATGGTGGACAGCTTACGTATAGCGGCCCATAACAGTCGCTAATGAGGAATCTACCTATACATACAGTATCTATGGTAATATCAACTAAAATACTACATCATATACATTCTACTATTTGTGTATATTTAAATGTCAATGATTTAAACCTTGTACGATATGATACACGAATAAATGGAATAAGCACAGCCGCGTTGCTATCTCTCAAAAACCAAACCAGCTCTCTATAAAGAATAGGCTATCAGCAACTTAGATACATATACATTTTCTACTAGGCCTACACGTTTTCTTCTTTATCTTTTGCTGGTTTGCGTGGCACACACACATTTGTTTAGTGAAGTTCAAAAAAAGACTCCTTAAAGAGTTCTGCGTAATGAAAATGCGCCTTGAATTAATTCAGTCGTGTTCAAATGATCACAAAACGTTTGTCATAAAATCTCTGCTTGTATGATACATTTATTTTTAGAAATTATAAATTTTATATTTTAGAACGCTGCATAGGGCAAATAGTCGAAACACAAATATTTTTCCATACTCTGTTCTCTTTTTTCCATTTAAGTGAAATTCCATACTTTGCGCGGGAACCGGTGAGCCAAAGGAAAGTATGATAATTTACATAAACCTCTAAAATTACTACGCAATAACGAGTGTATGAAGTAAATTAGTGTAAACTCTATGAATGAAAAAAGTGCAAATAAAATAGCAGTGTTGCAGTTGCCTTTTTCCATGCATTTCCTAGAAATTACTTAAATCAATTTCCATTTACAAATTGTGTAGGAACCCTTACTGTTTTCATTTGAAGATATTTAAATATTTATTTATCGGACCATGAAAGGTCCCCAAGCTGGGATTCGAACTCACGTTGCCAAAGTACAACTGCACTACATCTCAAAGCACTGCCTATAAAGGGTATCAGCTTCGACTGTTAGAAGATATTAAAATAAATGTTATAATCATTTAAAAAAAAATATTTTAGTTAAACATGCATATTTGTTCAGTGATAACTATGAAAAAAAAAAGATAGGCTGTAAAACCATAGACATAATGATCTTCTCAAGTAACTGTACGAACGTCCGGATCAAGCCCCGCCCACTACCGGTTTTATCTGAATCCAGATACAGATATGAATAATTTTGTGATTGTTAAAGATACAGTTACAGATACAAATACTGACTCTGCTGCACACCCCTAATTCTTACTTTGAGTTTTATTAAAATTAACCACTGGTCTTCCATAGTAGCATACATTTAGATCATAACCACAGTTAAAACCACACATACAGCACCTCAACACCATGGTAAAAATGTAACTATGTACCTATGGTTCTCTAGCTATTTGTATGAAAACAGTAGTCTAAATACATTTAGTATAAATGCACAAACACTATAGCTTAACAAACAAATGCTGTAATTATATTCCATTACTACTTTAATACATTTAATTCATGTCTACATTAATTATATAATAAAATTCTATATGAATATCCCACATTTCTGCCACAATACCATGGTGCAGTTACTACAGTAAAAGCCATGGTAAATGATGGCGATTTGTAGATTGAAAAGCTTTCTGACCTGACTGTGTCATTGCGCACACTGCTGTTTGTTAGCGCTGTTTCATCTGGCTTTAAACTAAATCACCAAGTTATTTGTTTTCTTCGCTGAATTCAAACACTTCACACTGGATCTCACAGCGCTGTTTAGTGCTCGCGTGACCAAGGCTTATTAGCGAGTAAACGCATCTGCTCTAGTGAGCTCATGCTGCACTGCCATTTGAACTTTGAGCCGAGCGGATAAATGCTCCATGTGTTGCGCGGCTCAAATGAGTAGCACTGTTTCGTTCCACTTATGGCGCATAAACATTATATCGAACATTTATCGAACTCTTGTTATCGTTTTATTGCCCAGCCCTATTCTCTAGGTAATATGTAGTTTGAGGTTTACTACTATCTAGTGTTATCTAAAGCCAAGTTCACACTACACGACTTTAAACGTTGACAGATCACTGTGCTGTTCAAACTACATGACTTGCTGTCTGTCTTGAAGTCGTTGTGGTGTTCACACTACATGACACTACATAAATGATCCGCAACAGGGGTCACACACACTACACGAGCTGTTGCTGCTGCTGTTTTTCTTCCGCTGACCTCAACCTAGTGATAGCCGCTTTTGAAACACTGCTTCATGAAGCTTCGAAACCTTTGCAAATCAATTGTTCCGAAACAGTGGTTCGGAGCGTGTATCAAAATGCAGTAAACGAGGCTACGTTACGTCATAACTGTTTCGAAATGTTTCGAAATTTCAATAGTTCGCCTTAGGGGGGCGATCTCTGTGAACCCGTGAATCATGCGAGTTCACTGAGATCGCCCCGCAGCGGCGAACCACTGCATCAGCGTCTATGGTTATACGATCTCGGATCAGTTTGATCAATTTGTAGACATTTTTAATGAGACATTTGTGTAATTAAAAGGATGAGTAGTAGTTAATAGTCTCTTACTGGCCTGTTTAGACAAGCTCTCCATAAAACAAACAAAACAAGCCCTTGCAAATTAATAATTATTATTTTAAAGATGCATAGGCCTATTATACAGACACTTCATTTTTAATAGTATTTTATTATTTATTATAGTTTCAAAAAAGCGTTTTTATTGGGTTTGTAAAAGCTGTTTTTATGCATGTTTTGGTCTGAGTTTTTGTTGCATTTATACAGTTTTGACCAGCCGGCGTCACCAGCGTGTGGTGTTTCAAGCACTTCTAAACAGTGAATCATTTTGCGAAGCAATTGGTTCAGTTGATTCGAAGCTTCAAAATGGTTAGTTTCTCCCATCACTACCTCAACCCATGCCTTGCTCTCTCTCATTGGCTGTAGTTCGTCGTGACACCTGACACCATGTGATGTCGAGTTGGCCGACAGGTCCAGATATTAAGCATATTTGTTTGGCATCGCCGTCGCGTCAACGAGCCTCTTTGATGCATCATTGAGTAGTTCGTCGTTGAGATTTTCCCACGATCACATCTCGACCTGTCGGCGAGCTGGTTGACTTGCAAATCGGGCTAAAAATCCTGTAGTGTAAACTTGGCTTAAGGGTCTGTTAACAGGAAGCTCCATATATTGATATTGTGATTGTTAAACAATTTGACAGTGGCACAAGCAAACACAATGCATAACTAGTAATTCTGAATTACTAGTGCCATGGCATTGCATTTGTAGATAATAATATGATAAACAATAATAAGATGCCATTACTTTCATAGTTTACTGCAACACTGTCATGCCACATTTCATCTATTAGTTCTGATAGTCCAATACTGGTGTATTTTGCATCATTTTGTGCAAGGCATTTTACTTTTTGAAACTTGGATCATTATTTTTCACACATAATAGGCTATCCTGACTTTAAATGAAAGCCTTTTGCATTTACATGTAGTGTAAAAATGAAAGACACCATTTGGTTGAACTATAATAGGTCAATTCACTACTGTTTGAAAATCTGGGGCCGGTAAGTCTCTTAAGCTCACCAAGGTTGCATTTATTTGATCAAAAATACAGTAAAAACTAAAATTGTGAGAGAACTTTTCTGTTTTTATATATTTTAAGATGTAACTTATTTCAGTGATGGCAAAGCTGAATTTTCAGCAGTCATTGCTCCAGTCTTCTGTGGCACATGATCCTTCAGAAATCATTCTAAAATGGTGCTCATGAAATATTTCTTAATGTTGAACAGTTGTGCTAATTAATATCTTTGAGAAAACCATGATACATTTTTTTTAGTATTCTCGGATGAATAGAGAGTTCAAAATAATAGCATTTATTTTTAAAATTACAAATATCTTTACTGTCACTTGATCAAATTAATGCATCCCGGCTGCATAAAAGTATTAATTTCTTAAAAAAAATTCTACTGATCCCAGACATTTCAATGGTAGTATGTGCTTTCACTACCAATATAATCCATAATAGGCTGCTTGCTTTAAGCAGCTTTATTAATTTAAGATTGTTATTCTCAACAAATATCAGACATGCTTTAATAAACCTTACAAACTTTATAGAAAACATTTGAAATGAGAGGTCTAATTGTCTCAAAGTACAAAGAACGTTAAGCTCTATGGTGAATTATGTATGTTGGCATGTGCTGTGTCTCATTGACTGTTTTCTTTCAGATGAAGAGTCGCTTGAAATCAACTGGCTTTGGAGTCACATCAAGTTCAGGTTACAAAACACAATAGCAGGAACCCTTCCTTAAAGGTGGAGTGTGTACTTTTTAATATTTAAGAATACTCCCAGTTTAATATGCAGAGACAGCTATAAGTAAAGTATTCACTGGTTGAGTCCCCCTAAAAGTGTAAACACTCTGGTTTTATGGCACTATCAAAACATCGCTCTGTTGGTTTGAGCAGCCTAGCATAGCAACATTGGCACAATGAATAGTGTGGGTTTGGGGCGGGCAGAGCTATCTGTTTTGCTGACAAGTGACAAACGGGGGGTGTTCGATCACTAATGACACAAATTACATACTTCACCTTTAAACCTTTTTGATGTCTTTGTAAATGTTAGGCTTTTTTTTTGTATTACTGAACTTAAAAGTTTACACTTAATGACACGTGCATGTGTTCTTGCATGCTTCTCTCACCTAGAAAAGCAGCACATGCCAAAGAAAAATACATGGATTGTCATGCATAGACATTTGAGTGTTTTTTGTCATAATACACTATATGGACAAAAGTATTGGGATACACCTCTTAATTACTGAATTCAGGTGTTTCATTCAGACTCATTGCCGAAAGTGTATAAAATCAAGCACCTAGCCATGCAGTCTGCATTTAGAAACCTTTGTGAAAAAAATGGGTCGTTCTGAAGAGCTCAGTGATTTCAAGTGTGATACTGTGATAGGATGCCACTTTTGAAACAAGTCAGTTCATGACATTTTATCCCTGCTAGATATCCCACAATCAGCTGTAAGTGGTGTTATTGGAAAGTGTAAGCGTTTAGGAACAGCAGCAACTCAGCCATGAAGCAGAATACCACATAAAGTCACAGAACAGTGTGATGAGTGATGAGGCGCATAGTGAGTAAAAGTCACCAAACACTCTGCTGAATGAATCCATAGCTAAAGAGATCCGAACTTCCATTGGCATTAATATCACCATGAAAACTGTGCAGTGGGAACTTCATAGAATGGGTTTCCATGAATGAGCAACTGCATGCAAGCCTCACATCACCGTGTACAATGCCAAGCGTCAAATGGAGTAGTGTAAAGCATGCAGCTACTGGACTCTGGAGCAGTGGAAACGTGTTCTGTGGAGTGACGAATCATGCTTCTCTGTTTGGCAGCCTGATGTGTGAGTCTGGGTTTGGAGGATGCCAGAAGAATGCAACCTGCCCGACTGCATTTTGCCAACTGTAAAGTTTGGGAGGAGGAGGGATAATGGTATGGGTCTGATTTTCAGGGGTTGGGCTAGGCCGCTTACTTCCACTGAAGGGAAGTTTTAATGCTTCAGCATACCAAGACATTTTTAGACCTTTTCTATTCCAGCATGACTGTACACCATAAAGAGATGATTAAATGAGTTTGGTGCAGAAGAACTTGACTGGCCTGCACAGAGCCCTGACCTCAACCCCATTGAACAACTTTAGGATGTACTGGAATGGAGATTGTGAGCTAAGTCTTTTCGTCCAACATCAGTGTCTGACCTCACAAATGCTCTACTGGATGAATGAGCAAGAATTCCCACAGAAACACTCCAAAATCTTATGGAAAGCCTTCCCAGAAGAGTGGAAGCCATTATATCTGCAAAGGGGGGACCAACTCCGTATTAATGTCTGTGTATTTGGATGTTTGTATCATATGTTTGTATTTAGGTCAGGTGTCTCAATACTTTTGTCCATAAAGTGTATCTGCTAATGGGGGATTTGATTCTCTACTAACATCTCAATAAAGATATTTCAAATACATACTGCATAATGAATAAAATGTGACCCATGACTATGTGAATTTCTCTAGCAAAACACACATTCAACCACTTGAGATGTTCATTTAGAATTTATGCCCACTGATTTGCTCCAACACAAAGACCTCTTTGTGTGACTTCATTGAAAATCACTGCAGTGTTCCAGTGGCAAAACAGTCTTGGCCACACATAAAGAAAAGCACTCGAATTTTAACAAGTCTTTCTTGCTTATTTTACCTGTTTTGAGAATATTTACTGTTAATATTATTTTCATTTTGTAGCACAATGTAATCTGAATGTACACATTTTGCTATCTTCTGTATAGTATAGCATTCTCAGTAGCTCTTCTAGGTGAAATTGCTGTAACAGTGCTTGGATTCAGTAAAAACTGGCAATTTAAATGGTTGATTAGTGAATGATTTATGAGAATGCTTCTTCAGGATATGAATCTGCAGTGCACTGCATGATTGCCAGTTGTCGTGGGTGTGAGTAAGCATAACTTCTTGTACAAAGACAGACATCTCATTGTAAAAATGGTGATGTCAGCCATTTTTAATAACCCCTCAATCAAATGTTTGTCAAAGCAGAACCAAATTCTCTTAGTGTAAGGTATTGATGCTTTAACCATCACTAGGGGTTTCTAGGTGTCTTTTAGGCATTGTTCACACTGGCAGCCCAAATGTTTTTTTTTTTTTTTTAGCCCAAATGCCATGATGTACATAAGCAAAAAGCTAATTTCCAGCTCTCTCCCTACATCTAGTTTGCTGCATCTGGTTGGGAAAATGACCGATTGAATGAAATCTGTTGCTTAGACAGTTTTTCTTAAATATTGGGCTTGAACAACAAATGTCTGCAGTGTGAACATAACCTTTTTCTAGAGCTTTAGTTTGTCAGATTAGAGGGCTGATGACTTTAGATCAATGTGATGTTTAAATTGTAAATGAGTCATAACTTCAGTAATGTTCTCTCACAAAAATGTGTCATTTGATGTGGTAATAGTGCCTTGTGGTTTTGGTGTACAGAGGGATGAGCGGACATTTGTAATCACATTGTTTGATCATATCTAATAAGTGAGCAAGAGTTGCATTCTATTGGTAAGTGTATGTTGTTTTTTTTTTTTTTACCTCAGCATGTCTTTTGTGCATATTTAATTACCCTTTGAATGCCATTTTATTTTCATTTTTAAAAATGTTTTTAATTTCTACAATGATTTTAAATTTTTACTTTTTTCTCCAAAATTACACCTTGTACACTTTTTTTTGTTTGTTTATTTAACATCTTCATGGAGGAGTTAACTTTTAGGATAATTTGTTTTTATGGTGAGGTCATAGCATCTATAAAGAATATCCCCGCCTGTCTTGACATAGTTTTACATGTATTATTTCACATTGCAACTGTATAGTTTTATTATTAACATAATGTAATGTTTTTATGCAAAGGCATCGGCTATAGTCATGCATGTTAAAGAGAATCATAGATTATAATATAAAAGTTTTTTTTCCCCCTGACAAACATGGCTTTAACACTTTCTGCAATAAGTGAGAGAATCATTGGTGGTCATTTAATATGTTAAAATGACCATGTTATTAAGTTTTAGAGAAATTCAGTGAATAATTACAAACATCACATGTTTAGATTATGGAGGAATTTGTACTTTAGAGTTAATTAACATATATTTTAAAGTTTAACTAGTTGACTTTGGTGGAATCCAGTCAATTAAACACTCCTTTAATATATTTTTACGTAACTGAGAACTCTCCAAACCATGAACTGACAAATTCATGCTCATGTTTCTTTTTGGTAGCCTTTTTCCAGGACGCTAACAAACTGCTCCTAAACGAACAAGCTAACTGGGTGCATCTAAAGGAGTTTGCCCGTAAAAATGCTGCCAACGCTCTTTCTGTTGCCAACATGCTCATGGGCATGGCCTCAATCCTCTGCAGTCTCAATGGGTATGCATTAATGCATTTGATTTGTACTGCACAGAGAAAACCAAATGCATACAAAAATACAACAATAAAAATTCATAAAGTGAATGTTGTGTTACAGTAGAAAGAAGGAATTTCAAAGTGAAGTTTGTTTTGTTTAACTTTCTCATTGTTTTGTACTTTCTTTATGTCCCTGCCACCGTTGTTATTCACAGCCATCATCATGCCGCGTGCTGGCTGGTTCTGATCGGTTATCTGCTGGATTTGGCAGATGGAGCGGTTGCTAGGCAACTAAATGCGTGTTCTGCACTGGGTGAGTAGTGTTGAGTGTCCTTAAATACAAGGGAGTGGGGCCAGGGGTGAGTCTTGTTGCTTTAGATATCTTTAGATGCTTTCATCTACAGTCCCCTTACAGAGTACCACTTAAAAATAAAATGAAGGGGAGGAATAAATGATCAGTTCAATTCAATTCCTGGAGGGCCGGAGCCCTGCAGTTTTGTTCCAACCGTGCTCCAACACACATACCATGTAGTTTACAAATAAGCCTGAAGGACTTGATTAGTTGGATCAGGTGTGTTTAATTAGGGTTGAATCTAAACTCTGCAGGGCTCCAGGAATTGAGTTTGACTCCCCTGCTTTATATATTGGATTAATAATCCAAATGTAAACATGTAAAAAAACAAAAACAAAAAACAGTTGGCAAATTGTTGCGGAAAGCCATTTGAAATTAGAATTTTAATGTTTTTTTTATTTTTTATTATTATTTATTATAGTTTTAGAGGCATTATTACAACCATACAGTGTGTTTCTCCAGGACCACAGTCCTACAAAAGCAGACTAAAAGACAAACACAGTTTAAATCAAATTAAATAAACTACTAAAAATGTAAATAAAAAATGCAAAAACAAGTGTACAAGTTCAAAAAGCATGGTACAGAACAAAGCACAGTGACGACAATGCAGCGATGTCTGTTACTATGTCTGTTAGGTTGGTAACACTTTACATTAAGGTTCCCTTTATAAAGTGTTTATAAAGGTGCTCATAAATGACTAATAACTAATTTACAAATGCATTATAAATCATTGATAAGCAGTTAAAAATGCATGAATAAAAAAGGTGATTTTAATGCAATACCTGCCAAATAGTGAGCCATTTTTAACTCGCATGTTATAAATGCTTAATAAATATATTTATTAATACTTATTTCATTCAAAACCGGATTCCTGATTTATTTCTTGATGCAGCAAAAATTTACTTTTATAGTGAGACTGAAGGGTGTTGTATCTGTGGTTCTCTCATTTATATCTCATGACTCATGTCACTTTTTGTACAATGTTTCTTACCCGAATCTACTCTGTACCTTACCCATGATACGCTGCAAAAGTTCATGATGCCTATCCACAGCAGTGATTAGAAACTGATATATTTTGTTTATCAAGATGAAATGATCAAACTTCATTTTGGGGCGGAAAAAATCATAAAAGCACATCCATGGCTTGATGAAATATCAATAATAATTTTTTTTTATTCCAGTAGTAGTTACCTGTGAACCTTAATGTAAATAATTTATGAATTAATTATAAATGTTAATAACCTGTAAAAGTGAACCTTAATGTAAAATGAACACCTGTGAACCATTTATTAATGAGTTCTAAACGTTAATAACCTGTGAAAGTGAACCTTAATGTAAAGTGAACAGCTGTGAACCATTTATTAATGAGTTATAAATGTTAATAACTTCTAAAAGTGAACCTTAATGTAAAGTGAACACCTGTGAAACATTTATTAATGAGCTATAAACGTTAGAAACCTGTCAAAATGACCCTTAGTATAAAGTGAACACCTGTGAATCATTTATTAATGAGTTAAAAATGTTAATAACCTGTGAAAGTGAAGCTTAATGTAAAGTGAACACACTAATCATTTATTTATTTATTATTAATGCACACACTGAAGGTTTTTTTTTTTCCTGGTGAAATGTATTTTATTGTTGATGCACTATATCAGTAAATACAACAACTTGAAACAACATTCCTGAGCATAACTGCACACGAAAAGTAGCTTATACAAGTAAACTCACATTAAACAATTCAGGAAAAAAAATCAAGTATTCCACCAAATTATAACTAAGCATCACATCTATATGACAAAAATATGATATAAATGCAAGCTCAATAAAGGCACCTAAATATTTATATTTTATCTAACTTAACAGTTTTGAAATAATCATTAAATCAATGACAAAAAGCACCGTTACAGAACATTATCATATTAATAAGCAATCAGTAATGATTTTTGATATCACGATAACTGTGATATTTTCAGAAATAGAAGTAGCGTTTTTTCATCTGAAATGTGCTGCGATTTATATTCCAAAGCCACTCATATAATGCAGAAACACTCAAGCAAACAAAACACGCGCAACGCATGCACATATTTGTACTGATGCAGAATGAGAGGACAGTAGTACAGCCTAGCGCATTTCACCTCTCTCCCTACCGTTAAGTAATTTGTGCATTGTTTTACTTTTTTTTTTTTGACATATCCGACCGAACTACAAACTTTCCAGTGATGTCTGTGAGAAAGATATATTCACTCGACAAGCTCGCGCATCTGCGCCGCCGCGCACTCAATCCACTCAGCGTGCTTTGTTTATCAGCTCGCGCACACCAGCTATACAGGCGTTAATACTGAATGTTTAACATTATATTCATTGCATACATATACTTCGTAGTAGACATCCTTAACTCCTTTCTGCTGTCTGTTGTTCTGTTGTCGGTGTTTCTTTGTTTGAATATGGCGCTTATCACATGCTGTGTGGTATCGGCGTTTGGTATCGGGGCATTTTAACGAGTACGAGTACGAGTGCAGGAGACCAGTATCGGGCCATCGGTATCGGTGCATCTCTACTAATAAGCAACTAAGAGACCCTAAAATAATGTGTTACCATACATTATATATTACATATCATTATAATAATATGTAGATTATCAACGTTAGAAACCTGGGATAGTTCATGTAAATTATATGTTGTTATACAATTTCTGATCACTTCTGATGTGCAAATTTGTGTCTTCTTTTGCCTTATTTGTTATACACTGTTACATTTTGGAAATAAAAAAGGATCACATCACCAAAGCCAGTGTCTGTAGTTGCCTGCGTGTACCACAGCCTGTAGTTGGCGCTGGTGAGCATTCGATACAAAGGCACTTTTCAAGAGAAGAAGTCACGCTGTTAAGACTGTTCCAATGTGCTCTGAAGTGAAATTTTAATCTCAGTGATTAATCAGTGTTTTCTGATTTTACGGGTAATCTAACTGTGAGGTGACATTGCAGTCTGTGTTTTTCAAGTAAAGGCACCTAAATATTTATATTTTATCTAACTTAACAGTTTTGAAATAATCATTAAATCAATGACAAAAAGCACCGTTACAGAACATTATCATATTAATAAGCAATCAGTAAAGTGTCTGTAGTTGCCTGCGTGTACCACAGCCTGTAGTTGGCGCTGGTGAGCATTCGATACAAAGGCACTTTTCAAGAGAAGAAGTCACGCTGTTAAGACTGTTCCAATGTGCTCTGAAGTGAAATTTTAATCTCAGTGATTAATCAGTGTTTTCTGATTTTACGGGTAATCTAACTGTGAGGTGACATTGCAGTCTGTGTTTTTCAAGTGTTGATATCGCTGTGTTAGTTCAATGTAGTTACTGTATAAATAAATAACCGCGACGGCGCTCCCGCGGACGTTTCGCTCGCTCGCAGGTACTGAAAGTGTGGATAGTCAAACACTTCAAATATTTTTAGATGTGATGCTTAGTTATAATATGGTGGAATACTTGATTGTTTTTCTGAATTGATTAATGATTAATTACTTGTATAAGCCTCTTTTTTTGTGTTAAGTTATACTCAGTAATGTTCCAATGTGCTGTAAAAGAAAATATTAATCTTTTTGTTTCACTTTTAAAGTTGTTTACTGATAAAGTGTAACAACAATAAAATACATTTCCCCCTGAAAAATGCGAAAAATGCCTGTGTGTGCAATAATAATCAATAAATAAATGATTAGTGCGTCCGCTTTACATTAAGGTTCACGTTTACAGGTTACAAATGTTTGTAACTTATTAATAAATGGTTCACAGGTGTTCACTTTACATTAAGGTTCACTTTCACCGGTTATTGACATTTAACTCGTTAATAAATGGTTCACAGGTGTTCACTTTACATTAAGGTTCACTTTCACCGGTTATTGACATTTAACTCGTTAATAAATGGTTCACAGGTGTTCACTTTACAGTAAGGTTCACTTTCACAGGTTTTTAACGTTTATAACTGATTAATAAATGGTTCACAGGTGTTCACTTTACATTAAGGTTCACTTTCACCGGTTATTGACATTTAACTCGTTAATAAATGGTTCACAGGTGTTCACTTTACAGTAAGGTTCACTTTCACAGGTTTTTAACGTTTATAACTGATTAATAAATGGTTCACAGGTGTTCACTTTACATTAAGGTTCACTTTCACAGGTTATTAACATTTATAACTCATTAATAAATGGTTCACAGGTGTTCACTTTACATTAAGGTTCACTTT